TGCTGCTGCTGCTGCTGCTGCTGCTGCTGCTGGCCGCATACATATCAAGACTGTCTCCGTCTAGGAAGCAGCTGTCTCCTTTGCTGCTCCCCTTTAACCCATTCCAAACCTCAAATGCAATCTTCTGCTGCTGCTGCTGCTGCTGCTGCTGCTGCTGCTGCTGCTGCATGCTGCTGCTGCTGCTAGCAGCAAATCGTTGCACGCTCTTGGTGCTGCTGCTGCTGCTGCTGCCGCCAGAGGAGACAGGGAAGTCAGCAGCAGAAAGTGCAAGGAATGTAGGAAGAACCTCAGCGCTGCTGCTGCTGCTGCTGCTGTTGCTGCTGCTGCTGCTGCTGCTGCTGTTGTTGTTGTTGCTGCTTCTGGTGCTGCTGCTGCAGCTGCTCTCCTCAAGAAGATCTATCTCCTTCAGTTGCTGCTGCCCTGCAGTCTCCAGTTGCTGCTCTTGCTGCTCTTGTTGCTGCTGTTGCTGTTGCTGCTGCTGCTGCTGCTGCTGCTGCTGCTGCTTGCGCTGGCCTAGAAGAGAGTGCTTTGCATCTCCTGCTCCTGCTGCTGCTGCTGCTGCTGCTGCCTTTGCTGCTGCTGCTGCTGCAGCAGCAGGCTGGCATACACCGGGCAGCTCGCGGAGCGCCTCCTCATTTAGGAGAGCTTCGGCCAGCAGCACAGGGTCAGCAGCAGCAGCAGCGTCTGTTGCGGTCTTGCTGCCGAAGAGGTCCGCTGAACTTTGCTGCCCCCATTCCTCGACATCGCACTGACCTTGCTGCTGCTGCTGCTGCTGCTGCTGCTGCTGCTGTTGCTGCTGCTGCTGCTGCTGCAGCAGGTACTTGATCTGCTGCTGCAGCTGCTGCTGCAGTTGTTGCTGCAGTTCGTGGTTGCTGCTGCTGCCTCCATGCTGCGGCAGCTCCTCTGGGGGCCACCCGCTGCTGCTGCATGCGAGGTAAGGATACAGCTCGGCCCCCCACATGCTGCTGCTGTTGCTGCTGTTGTTGCTGCTGCTGCTGCTGCTGGGGGGGTGAGAGCGCCCGCTGCTGCTGCTGCTGCTGCTGCTGCTCCCATTCCACCCCCAGGGATTTGTTGCCTCTGCATCGAGACTGTCTTTGCAGTCCTTCTGCTGCTGCTTCTGCTGCTGCTTCTGCTGCTGCTTCTGCTGCTGCTTCTGCGGCTGCTTCTGCTGCTGCTGCTGCTGCTGCTGCTGCTGCTGCTGCTTGTTCTTAGGCTGCTTCCATGTGTCTGCTGCAGGCACCTCCAGAGCCTTTGTCAATCTGTGTGGCGTTGCTGCTTCTGCTGCTGCTGCAGCAGCAGCAGCAGCAGCTGCTGCTGCTGCTGCTGCTGGCCCTATACTCACACAGTCAGCTGCAGCAGCAGCAGCAGCAGGATCTAACAAAACAGGAGAAGGGCTCACCGAGGCGCTGCTAATAAATAAACTTGCTGCTTCGCTCTCCTGCTGCTGCTGCTGCTGCTGCTGCTGCTGCTGCAGGGGGTATGCTGCTTCTGTGGGTTGCAGGTACAGCAGCGGCAGCTGCTCGTTGCAGCCACCTGCTGCTTCTGCTGCTGCTGCTGCTACATTTGTTCCTGCTGCTGCTGTTGTTGTTGCTGCTGCTGCTGGTGCGGGGGACGCTGCACGCAACGCCCGCCCTGCTGCTGCTGCTGCTGCTGCTGCTGCTGCGAGTTGCAGCTCAACTGCAGCAGGAGAAAGAGCAGCAGCATCTTCTGTTGTCTTTGCTTGATGTTGTGGTTGTTGCTGCAGCAGCAACAGCCGCTGCTGCTGCTGCTGCTGCTGCTGCTGCTGCTGCTGCTGCTGCAGGTGCTGTTTCAGGCTGCAGCTCCATATACACTCGTTGCTGCTGCTGTCTTCTGTATCATGAGTATCTACAAGCCCCCCAAAGCTATCATCTGGTTCTGGTTCTGCTTCTGCTTCAGCAGCAGCAGCAGCAGCAACTGCAGCAGCAGCAGCTGCAGCAGCAGATATAGACTCTCCTGATGCTGCTGTAGATACACTAATCAGAGAATCCTTGCTGCCGGGGGGAGAAGAAATTAAGCTCAAGCCGCAGAGGGATACTTCCTCGTGGGGCTCCATTCCCTGCTGCTGCTGCTGCTGCTGCTGCTGCTGCTGCTGCTGCTGCGGCTGCTAGTGGTGGTGGTGGTGGTGGTGGTGGTGTGGTGGTGCCGGTGGTGGTGGTGGTGGTGGTGGTGATCGTGCTGCTGCTGCTGCTGCTGCTGCTGCTTCAGAGTCAAGAGCACAACCCTCCACCCCTGCACACCCAAACAGAGTGCGAGCTGCTGCTGCTGCTGCTGCTGCTGCAGCTGTTGCTGCTGCTGCTGCTGCTGCAGGAACCCGCAGCAGGTGGAGACAGCCGAAGCACACAAGGCAG